TCACTAAAGGATAGTAAGGATGTAGAGCAACCGGAACTCTGTGCATTACTGCTGGGGAAGGAGGTGGGTAATGCAGTCTGATCCCTAATGAAAGTAATTTGACAACATGTAGTAAAATTGAAGACACTGCATCTTTGATCTTGTAATTCTACCATCTTACATAAACCTCTGCTAGGTAATATGGAAAATGATATTAATAGAAGCATTTTTGTGATAGCACACAATTAGATATTAGGCAAATGCCCATCAATAGCATAATGGACAGAAAAAATCATTTCATGTTAATTCAGTGGTGTATGATACAGCAGTGAAAATAAATGTACCCCAATATCAATTAAATTCACAAAGATAATTTTAAATGAAAATAGGCAGTTTGCCTGAGAACAGATGTAAGATTTATCTAAAGTTTTTAAAAACGAGAACTTATTTTACTTAAGGATCTGAAATATGTGGTAATATTAGAAAGGAATGCGAGTACCCAACGAACACCAAAGTCAGAGGAGTGGTGACCTCTTGGCAATGTGCAGTAGGATGCCGGGGAAGGAACACACAGGGCTTCTGCCCTGGCTCTGCTCCGTTTACCTGGTGGTAGCTATGGGGGTGCTTTATAACCTGCATATGGGTCACATTAGTTTATGTTTCAGGGTTTTTTTCTAACTTGACAACTAAAAGTAATTATCAGCTCCCACTATATTCTTTCTGCTAGACCATTATTAGCTGTACTTATTGAGTAGTGATTAAGCTTTTCCCACCAATGTGCTGAATGTATGTTGCTTTTCTCTTAAAAATCTTCTACTTCCTCATCGATTTATATATAATGGGAAGGTTCCCTTTGGAACCTGGTTCAAGTCTCACCTCCCATATCCACGACCTTCCTAGACTTTAATTTTCTCCTCTTTAACATCAGGATAACAGTTGCTCACTCCCCAAGCTATTGTGAAGATCATACATATACATGTGCATTTACATATCTTATCGAAACTGATGTTAACAGTTATCTCTTCATTCAGATTTTTTTCACCAAACAGGTGTTGAACATCTGCTGTGTTACAAATGCTGTAGGGGTTACAAAATGAATAGGATATAACGCTTCTCCTCAAGGAGCTAGATTTATTCACACACAACTAGAGGATGCTGCCCCAAGGAATGTAACTGTGGAATATAAACAGTGTTAAACACCTCAGAGGAGAAAGGAATTGGTTCTATAAATTCAAGGAAGGCTTCAGAGAGGTGGTGGCATAGGAGATGAGCGTCCAAAAATTTTTTTCAGTTTGTGCTCATGCATGCAGAGCTCCCCTTCAACTTGCCCACTCTCAAGTAAACGCACTAAGTATTTGGGGTGAGTCACCACACCCCCATAAAGAATGGGTTGTTGCCATGAAAGACGCATACCTTAGCCTCCCTCACTCCCATCCAGTGGAGGCCATCCACTGTTGCCCGTTTTAGTGGACGGACATTAGTATCACAAGGACGTGAAATCATCATTGGTTGTTGCAGACAGGATAAACAGATTCCTTTGTACCCTTGTCTAGACTTGGGCAAAGTAGGTGCCCTGAAAATTCCACATAAATATTTTTTTGGAATGTTATGTCCCCATGACTTATTTGGCTTAATTAGACTGGTCATTTTGTATCCATTTTTTTATGTGACCAAGAGAACCAATAGCTGACAAATTTACTGACCCAGAGAGAAACTTCGGGGAAAAAGCTAATACCAACTGGACACAGGCTCCAGCAAGCCACAATGTTAATTTTGCTATTTCTGAATGATGCAATCACCACTGCAGATTTAGAAGCATCTTAAAAACCTTCTAATTCATTTAAAATCTTTGGAGACTTGATGTGTTTAAACTCTCAACATCATGTAAGCTGCCTTTCATAATGGAAATTTAATAGAGACAAGAGAAAACCTGTGTGTAGCTTCTCTGGATATTCTTCCTGAAAGCTCAGTTTTGTGAGTAGAATTAAAAAAAAAAAAGTGTGGGAATATTTTCTTGCCTTCTAGAATGATCCTTTAAAACATTAGTCAGGACATGTATAACCTCTTAATCCTCCAGTGGCCTCTTAGACAAAAAAAAACCAAAAACAAAACTGAAGTTCTTTCTGGGGTTTACCAGACCAGTACCTAATCTGCCTTCGCTTCCTGTCTCTCTTCCCCTCATACATAGTGGCCCAGCCACACTGGCCTTCTTGCCGAGCCTTGAACTTACCACGCACGTTCCCAAAGGCTAGGGCTTTCGCGCTACTCCTTCTCTGTCAGAATCACTCTTGCTCAGAGCCTTTTTCTTATTTCAGTCAGATTGCTGCTGAAATCTGCTCAAATGCTACCTCCTCAGAGAGCCCTTTCCTGGTCACCCTATTGAAAATAAAATTCCTATTGATTGCCGTACCCCACTCTGCCATGTGTTTCTGCAAGCATATGTCACTCTCTGGCATTATTATATATGATCTTCTATTTTTATGCTAGTTCTCCTCTTTCTCTCGAATGCCATCTCTGAGAGGACTGGTGCTTGGTACATACTGGTATTCAATAGCTATTCAGTGAGTGAACGAAGAAACTTACATTTCTGTCGCCTAGAAGAGATAGTGTTAAAAAGGCTGAAGCTTGGGGCGCCTGGGTGGCTCAGTCGTTAAGCGTCTGCATTTGTCTCAGGTCATGATCCCAGGGTCCTGGGATCGAGCCCCGCATCGGGTTCCCTGCTCAGCAGGGAGCGTGCTTCTCCCTCTCCCACTCTCCCTGCTTGTGTTCCCTCTCTCTCTCTGTGTCTTTCTGTCAAATAAATAAATAAAATCCTTAAAAAACCCCAAAAAAACAAAAGGCTGAAACTTTGTGGTGGAATCCACAGGTGGTATAAGACAGAGGTGATGTGAATGGTTGTAGAAAATGCACAGAACTTGACATCAGAAGATCTGGGTCTTTCTTGATTAGGCATTTGACTTTGGATAGGTCTGAGTGTCAATTTCCTCTGACCAAATGGATTAGACTAAAGTTGATAAGATCAAAGAAAAGTGGTAAGTTCTCATAAATCTTAAAATCTTAGTATAATTATGGCCACCTCTGTGGGTCAATATTTAAATACTACAAAAGCAAAACCAGCTATTCAAATTAAAATTCACCATTTTCAGAGCTAGAAAAACTCTCCTAAGCATCTAATGAACACCCAATCAGTTTTAAAAGGAAAACTTAAATGCAATGAAAAAAAAATGTGTTGGAAGGCTATTATAAAACAACAAAATATAATATTTCCATATGTGCGTACACACAAATGCAATTATAAGCATTGCTTTCTTGTCTCTTAAATTTCAGTCTTTATAAAATTAGCTAGGATTTTCATATTGGTTCTTCCTCTGAGGAATAAGTATATAAGCTAATCTCAGGTGGTTACAAATTTTAATTTCATAGTATCCCCAGCCATCCCTTAGATAAAATCTTTATGAGTCATTTTCTATAGATAAAAGAAAACAGTAAAATCCCACTTCAAATTAGGCTGCTTAAATTCCCTTTTTCTAATAAGGAAATCCTTGCTGTTGCATGGTAAGTACTAAAAAGCATTAGTGGAAAGCTAAATTTCTAAGAGATTTATTTAAGATAAAACAAAGATTTTAAATATTAGTATTCAAATAAATAAACGAGGGCTGGCTTTTATAGTTCATTGACATACTCTTTCAGGTGAGGGCCTATTTTGATATGTTAACCTTATTTATTTATTCTTTTACTCAATATTATTGCCATGTTATTGCGATAGCCCATGTGCATAATGAAACTCTTAAAATGTGAACCTTGAGGCTCAGGTATAATTTGTGTGTCTGTTTACTTCAGGGAGGTGAAGGGCGGTTTTATTAAAATAATACCTGTATGTATTGGAGATGAAGAGTACATGCTAAATAACGCCTGTGGACAGAAACCAACTGTTTGTTTTGCAGGGCAGGATGTCAGTCATGTACACTGCCCCATTCAGTGAGCGAGTCTTCCTGTTGCTCCAGACTTCTCGCCCATCTCTGTTCTGTGCACAGAGTTGGTTCATTGAATAGAGTCTCAGAGAAGTGGAGGGGCCTATTCTGAAAAGACAGATGAGGGTAGCACCAACTTATTCCCCAAGGAGAGTTCCTGATCCTCGTTCAGGGCCAAGCTCAGATATCAGCCTCCTAATGACATCTTCCCCAGTGGTCTTTTCCCTAATGTTCCAGAAGTATATGTTTTTTGGCCCTCTGCATAATCTTCTACTCTATCATGTATCACATGAAATAATATTAATCGCATATGTGTAAGTATTCCCAACACTCTGAGTTTCTCCTAGGCAGCTCTGTATCTGTAAGCCTAGCATAGAGCCTGGCCAATGGTGGGTGCTGACTGTGTCTTTTCAGGACAAATAAGTTCATTCAGGTGCTATTCACAGCTGATCTGCGGGAGAAGGATTCAAAGTGTCCATAGTCTGGCCAAAGTTGAGAAGAGGTGATCCTGGCTTTTTCTATGGAATGTCAGAATGTAGAGGATGCAGACATTGTGTATCATGGTTTTTAAAGATGGATCAGAATTTTAAGACTCCCTTTCTCTCAACAATGGTCCCTTTCCCAAACTCTCAATTTTGCTATTACTTTTCTTTTTATGATGGAACTTAAAGTGCACCAGCGTCGATCACTTCCCCTTTCTCTCCTCTTCCTAATGAATGCCACCATTGGTTAGAAAATTATTTGTCTGCTTGCTCTGAGCTTTGCATTTGTTGTAATGGTCTACGCTAGCCATTCCTCTCATCTTCTAGGTGTCATGGGCAGAGAGGTGTGTGCATGGAACTTTCTCCATTGTAACTAGATTTATACCTGGTTCTGCAAAAGAATAAATGAGAGTGTCAGTGGTGTGTATGTGTGTGTGTGTGTGTGTTTGTGTGTGTGTGAGAAAGGAAGGGTGGAGGTATAGACAGAAGGTTGGAGAAGTTAGAGGGACACGTAAAGAAGAACATGAGTTTTATGGTCTCTGAAAATGTCTTTGACATTGTCTTCCAGGTTGACTTTGGATTTGCTAAGAAAATAGGATCTGGACAGAAAACATGGACATTCTGCGGAACTCCAGAGTATGTAGCTCCTGAAGTCATTCTCAACAAAGGACATGACTTCAGTGTGGATTTTTGGTCTCTGGGAATTCTAGTGTATGAGCTCCTAACCGGCAAGTAAGTACCTTCAAGTTCACAGAAGTATTAAAATAATTTACTAATGATAAAAAATATGTAATTTAAGAGTTTAATTTTTAGAAATGTTTTTGATTAAGTGTGATGACTTTTCCCCTTTGTATATTTTACATATAGCATGCTTTGCTGGTTTGTAACATGGAGAAAACATTCCAGAAGGTACAGGAAAGAAGTACAGAATTGCTTTGGTTTACCTAAAATGGCAAGGCCTGTTATTATAGATAACATGTTAACTGTGTGAAGGTTTGGTAATTCCGTTGTAAGAATAAGGAGACGAATTGAGGCTGTGGGCTGTTATTATTTCCTCTCATATATATTTTTTGTAATGGAGAAAATTGTAATCATGTTCCGATTAAATCCATTAAACAATGAAACTAAATTTAGCTGCATTCTTCCATCTTCCCAATGAATCATTAACCAGAAAACTTAAGAGAAAGGAACATTGCTGGATTTAAATTTTAATCTCCTTGTCAACCGTCTTGTAGAGGTGCTAATGAACAGAGACCAGACACAGCAGGAGGTTTAGCAGTTCAAATTGAATTGTCGCCCCTGGAGGGATTAAAGGGCTATATTAATGAATCCAGGATCCCAAATATTCATCATGCGTGCATGCATACACATACGTGCACATGCATTTACACCCACACATGCATATACACATACATAGGCTCTATGTAATATTACCTCACATTGTAAAGCACTTTACAGTTTACAGAGCTCTTACATGTGTATTCTCTAGTTTAATTTTTATGAATTTGTGTGGAAGTTAAAGAAGGAATTTTTTTATTTTATGACTTAAATGTTATAGATTAGACAGCCAGAACAGAGAGCTACCTGCTACCTGCTTAAGGTCAGGGATTCGATCCCAGATCTTCTAACCCTAAATATGACGCACTTTCCATTACACACCTATGCCTTATAACGTACGCATTTTTAATGTAATGCGTGGACATCCCCACAGGATACAGTTCAGTTTTTTTCCCTCTGTTTTTCATCAACTGTTTTGATCATCCTTACAAACCTTTGTAAGCAAATATTCTCAGTCTTACTTTCAGAGCAGATTTGCTTATGGAATGGCATATGAAATACTGAAATGAGCCCTTTGATGGGGATTCAAGTCTCAACACATACTTAAAAAGAGTTTCATAAAACCTGGAACTTTTATACTGCAAATTTCTAATGTTAGATTGATTACCTGTGGCTGTATATTCGACTTCTTTGTCCACGTGCATTGAGCAAACAGATATGAAAGATTATTTTATATTATCTGTATTCATTTTCAAATAGTCATTGCTTAAGATTTTGATGGATAGAAGAGAAAATTCTCCAGACTGTCCTTCAGAGAGAAAGATGTTTACTGTCTTGGGACACAAGGAGTTCTGTTTCAAGAATGTGTTCCTCATCCCTGTGAAATTTGTCAGCTGCATTTGTAAGAAATACATGATGGTTCGTGTGGTAGCTAGGGAATATAGAACTCAGTCTTTATCAGCTGGAATAAGCTTCTACAAGGAATAAGGAAATAAAGTGAGGGAATAAGGAAAGGGGATCCCCAATAACTTGGAGTTGTTAAAGTGGCTTTGAACTGTCAAGAACTTGAGAAATTGTTCTTATAAAGGTTTTCAGGGTAGGGCATGAAAAAAGTTAATTTTAAATGCCCTGAACTCTAGAGAGTCAGGAGGTAAAGGAAAATGAGAAAAAGAACTAAAACACAGCACAACACAACAAACACAACATAACTGTAAATACAAAAGTATTGAAAATAGAGCAATGCTTTTTGTTTCATACCTCATTTTCTTTTTTTATTTTTTCGTATCTTATTTTCTTTACAAGCAAGACATAGATTGTTGCACCAACCTTATTTCACGTTTATTCCTGAGAGTGGGAACTCACTAGCAAAAGGTCTCAAGCATGGCCAAGATATAGCAGAGTAGTTCATGAAAGTCATCTTCAAATTAAATGACACAACAGAATAAAGTATTTTTAATAGCAAAGCATGTGAGTTAAAACGTTATCCAAATTCAGTGGTCAATTCCCAATGCTTTCTTAACTCACCCTAGCAATGCTTCCCTTGAAGTACTCTCTTCACAAGCCTTCTAGGACCTCCCTTTCTCTCATTTATTTGGCTCCATCTTTGTCTTCATTGCTGAATCCTTCTTATCCTCCTGACCTCTCCACATTGGGCCACTTTAGTCCTTGATCTCTTTTCTATCTACTCACTCCTTGGCAGATATCAAGTTCATGGCCAGAAATCCTATCTGATGACACCCCACAATCACACCTCCAGCTCTCTTTCCTGAATGCCAGCCTCACAAATTCAGCTGCCTGCATAGCATCTCTGTTTGGACATTTCAAACCTAACTCCCATTTGGACATTTCATAACATGCTCTGGACCTCTGGACCCCCACTTTTGGCCCCCACTCCAGCCTTTCTTCTCTTAGTAAGCAATAGCTCCATTCCATAAGTCAAAACACTTCAGCATCATTCTTGAATCTTTTCTTTCTCCTACACACCACATTCACAACATTGGCAAATCCTATTGGCTTTACCATCTAAATAGATCCAGAATCCAACCACATCTCACCACCTTCACTTCTACCATCATAGTTCAGGCCACCAGGCCTTCCTTCCCCCATTGCTAGCACTGTCAAAGGTCATTTTTGACACATTTTTTTCTTAAAAAGCTTACTCTGACTGCTGTAAACTCCGCCATCTGACTCAGAGTACCTTCCTAGGCCATTAGCATCACCACTAGCTTCGCATGATATGACCCTCATTGCTTCTACCCCTCTTCTGCTTCCTTACTCATTCCCCCAGCAACCCAGCCCTCCTCACCATTGGCAGAGCAACCCATGCCACTCCTGACTCATGGCCTTTGTACCTGCTGTCTCTGAATCTTTTGCTTACAGATAACAGTGCGGCTCATTCCCCCCTTCTCTTCATTGATACCACTGCTCAGTTGTCAACTTATGAAAGAGGCTTTTCCCATCTACCAGGTTTAAGAAGATCACACCTCTCTCTGTCACTCTGTCCCCTCCTTGATTTTTCTTTTTAGTGATTATCACCAACTGACAAATCACCTGTATGTGTACGTGTGTCATTTGTTAAGTGATATGAAATCAATGAAATTATTTTCTAGCATATATCCAGATTTTTTAATACAATGACTAATGAGAAAGGAGGAGGGAGGAAGGGAAGAAAAGGTAAGAAAGTCAGTTGTAAATGTGTCTGACACGTTGGTCCTAGTGTCCTATTTTGGCTTTTCTCCAGCCCTCCCTTTTCTGGGATTGACCAAATGATGACCTACAATTTGATTCTCAAAGGAATTGAAAAAATAGATTTTCCCAGAAAGATCACAAGACGACCTGAGGATTTGATTCGGAGACTTTGCAGGTGAGAATGAAAATTAAAATCCCTACTTCTTGGGGAATGTGTGAAGTCTTCTCATTTCTGTATCCACACAATTTAAAATTAGGTATGCATTTACTTTTTGTACTTTTCTATGTAGCTAAATTATATTTAAAGGAAACCATTTCTTCACTAGGAGTTTGAGTTTACTTCATGTTACAGAATCACAGTACCTACTTACAGTTTAAAAGAGATCTACAGTTATCAGCCAGCTTATCTTTGGGAATCATCTTTATCTGTATTAAGGCAAAAGAACATTAGTTTAATAAAGGAGTAATTAATTAACAACCTTGTTATTTTGAGAGAAAACCAGCGGTGGTGACAAAGTGTCACTCCTTGCCCTCTGTCAGTCTTCATTTTAAAAAACAGTACCTCTCTGGCCTTACTTTAAATTATTCCTAATTTCTGTTTACCCTTAAAAATAATATATTGGAGAACAGAAGACTTCTGGAATTTGTGTTTAAACTTTGTTTTGTCACTGTTTTCTTTTTTTGCACATTTGAACTGTTTTTTAAAGCATTAGCATTTAGTAAATTTAGAACATGAAACCTAGTTGTGGGTTGCCAACAGAAATCTCTGCATGTTTCTAAGATTCCAGCTCAGATGTAAATGATTCTTTAAAGATTTCCCTGTTTTTTCTCAGCAAAGTTGGTAAGATAACATCCTTATTCATAGCTCATTTAAAGCACCGGGGTGTGTGTGTGTGTGTGTGTGTGTGTGTGTGTGTGTGTGTATACTGGAGAGGGGCATGTGTTTTTCATTTCCCTGTACTCAGCTGCTTGGCCTATGAATATTGTTGAATAAATGAATGAATAAATACATAAAGAAAAAATGTTAAATTTTAATTTAAAATTCACCAAAGCATAATTATTATAAATTGCCCTTCAAAAATTTTTATTTTAGGCAAAATCCAACAGAAAGACTTGGAAATCTGAAGAATGGAATCAATGACATTAAGAAACACAGGTACATAGCTATTGCTTGGCCCAGAAAATAATAGAAATTTTTAGAAAAATGTAATCTTGAAGCTTTTGTTGTAGGTCACAAGAGTCCCTTTACAGATGTTCAATTTTTCCTTTTTGGTGTTTTATTTTTAATTTGTGTTTTACTAGGTACAGTTACAATAATCAGTCTCAAGGTGATTTCTCTAATGCTGAAAATTCACATCAAGAATGGATGAAATTCTAAAACAAGTGACAAAATCACATCTTTAAGTTATAGCAACTTAGCTTTTTATACACTGCTATTTTTATTTTTATGTTTATTTTTTAAGTAGGTTCCACACTGGGTGTGGAGCTCAATGAATGTCTCCAAGATCAAGACCTGAGCTGAGATCAAGGGTTGGATGCTTAACCCACTGAGCCACCCAGGAGCCCCTTATTATTTTTTAGAAATATCAGCTTGGATTCTATAGAGAAATTAAGTTCTAATTTTGACCCTTGATTTGTGATTAAAGTACGATATAGTCACTGTTGTCAACATTAAAGAGAAATCAACTGTTAAGTAGTATTGTATTTCAGTTTTAGTTAATAGTATATATTTATTTTAAATACAATTTTCCTTTGACTAGCTCTCCAAATTTTGAAGCCTAGTATTGTATTTTACATTTGGGATAAAGTACATTGATTTCCACAAAACCTCAAACACTGTTTCAGCCTTATACAATAATCTAACATGCATCTTTGCACTTCTGTGGATTTCTGAAGCTAGCCTTCAGAACCAGTGATAACTTCCATGAATTATCCTCTTTGATGTGGTTTATATATGTAGAGTTCAAGCCTTTCAGATTTTTAAAACAACTGATGCCTAGCTAAATCCTGCAATCCTCAAAATGTTTTAATTTTGCTTACGATATACAAAAAATATCACCAACTGATAGTACTATTGATAACAGAAAAACTAAATTGGAGAATTTCATCATTGACAACCTGTGAACACACTGAAGTGTTTATGTTCAGAAATGAAAACACGTCTCAGTATTTCATTCCTATCTGGGTATTTTTTCCTGAAGAATTAGAGGCACAGAACACAGTGTGGAAATAAAGGGAGAAAAGCTTCTGAATAGAAACACTATTCATTTTGCTTAACAGTAATGGTGCAGCTTCAAAAAAAAAAAAAAAAAATTCCCCAGGCTGCCAACCCTGCTCTATCTATTCATGAACTCACTTGAAATAGAGCCATGTATTCAACATTGTAAATTCATATTGGGCTTTGCCTTAAGGGTGTGTTAGGAGGGAGGGAGGATGAAAGAGACAGACTCAGCTGTGCATTTTATGGACATGAAAATGCCTATAGTATTTTTATTATTCTTTGTCATCCTTTGGATTGCCTTCAGTGTAAAGCTCATTATTTGTCTTAGATTCCAATTCATCTTTCTTTCTCCATGCGGTTATTACAATTTCTTTTCTCTTTATAAAATGACACATAAACACACTATTCATATTGAGCAAACAAGTGTCCCATCAATTAAAGTCATCCCTCCAATGTATTGTCCTCCTTTTGCTCATTAAGGAAGTGTCTTCACGTTTTGCTCCCAGGTGGTCAGGGTTAACAGGCTCTGGTTTTATCTTTTCTTTCTTATTTACCTGAGGCTCATTTAAATGTAGCTGTCAAATTGTGATTGGGTGCGCATGCAAACTGAAGCTAAAGGATTTTCTCACCTCAGCATGGTAGTGAAGAATTTTGAATTTCCTTCCCTGTAGGGATTAATTGGCCCACTCTTCTTAACAGGCGGGATGTTCTTGGCCACGTAAGGGTAGATTTGAAGTGCAGTGCATCGGGTAGAATTCAGTAATAAGATGGACCAAATTTACACAGTGCGTTTCAGTGAGCCCAGAGAGCTCAAAGACATTATTTCATCTGATTTACCTAGTGTTTCTTAAAATATAAAGCTGGCGGGGGGGTGGTGGTTAGGAACCTGCTTTTAAGTAGGAATGCTCTAAAACCTTCCATAAGTCTTCAAGGCTTATAGTTTCTCTGTGTACTCTTGGAATTAAAAAGAAAATCTTTCTGAAATTTGCCATCAGATTTTCTCACTCTTCTCTAAAGTAAAATGTATGCTTTTTTCTCAGAGAACCATTCATTTTAACTTTGTATTTAAAAACAATGCAGTTTAACGTGGCATATTGTTATGTTTGTCCATTCTGAGTTAAATCATCTTAACTAAACATAATCAGAGCTCCTCCCTCCCCTATTTCTGAGCTAACGTATGAACTAGGCATCGATCATGTCTCCCAACACCTATCTGAAAAGGGGGATAATATATTTGTAGGGTGCAATTAAATCTTTCCTGCTAGATAGAGGAATAATTTGTTTCAAGTGCCTTAATGTTACCTGTAATATTTCTAGCTGCTAAAATTACTTTCCAGAATAGCTTCTACCAGTCTTCTAAAAATGAAGAAGCGGTTTATGTGCCATTGCTGCTAATATTTCTTTGGTGAATATTTTTTACACATGAATGCATGCTGGCACTTGTGTTACTTAAAATGTGGTTAGTGTCAAAAGGCCAAGTGTTAAGTGAATGGCCACTCATGTTAAGTAAATATTGCCGTAAGTCAAATTGTAGCAAGTACTCAGCAAGAAATGTATAGGCTCTTTGATTCAGTAGGGTAACAGTAATGATTTTTATTAATGTTTATGGAGTAGCTTCTGGGTAGAGAGCACTGTAAAATATGTTAAAAGAAATTGTGGCAGTATTTGGTGGCAAAAGAAAAGAATCCACATGACTGTGCACCTAGAAATCCCTAAAAATGAAGCTTCAGTCTACGCCAAGAAGCTGATGGGTGGATCAAGGAGAGGACTCTTTGGTTTTGTAGCAAGGACAGGGGAAGCCTTACAGCTAGGGTTGCTGTCTGACTTTCACTCTTTGATTAGTGTCTCAGCAGCTTATACTAAAATGGCCCCTTGGGTTAAGAATGGCACCTGAAATGGAATGTACTAGAGCCTTCCCTCTGTTTATAGTACTTTTACTCTTGCCAAGCTTAGACTTGGAATGGGGAATCCAGTCAAGGACTGAATGAAAACCAACTCCAGCGGTGAGAAGAGATTAGAAAAGATGGAAGAGCATCATTTTTGGCGTGGCTGACAGACAGGAGTGTGACAGCCACCCAAATTCCCCAGCCCTCAGCCTCACACCTCTACCACCACCCTGCCTCCTTACAGCCCCCTCTGGTCATGCTCCACATAGCAGCCAGAATTATCTTTTGGAAGGGTGCTTAGATTCCATCATTTCCTTAGAACTTTCTAATGGCTTCCCATTAAGCATAAAATCCTGATTCCGTACTGTGTTCTACAAGACCTGCACGGTCTGGCCTCTAGCCAGTTTTCAGATACCCTGGAGCACACCAGCGTCCTATGGAAATAGCAGTGGGAAACGAGGGAAAGCACCCAAGTAGGTAGGATAACATGTCCTGGAAGCCAAGTGAAAAAAGTATTTCAGGAAGTGTGAGTAATGAATGGTGGCAAATTCTCCTAGGTGAAGTAATACAAAAACTGAGAATTGAGGAGATTCACAGGAGTGGAGGGGGTGGGTGCTGATTGTAGTGTGGCCAGGAGAAAATGGGTAAGTAGAATGATTGGATAACTTCCAAAGAGTTTTCCTCCTTTTGGAGGAGAGAAACAAAGTGAAAGCTGGATGGGAGCTCAGGTCAAGGAAGGGTGTTTTGTGGTTGGAAGAAATAAAATGTCTCCAAACTGATGGGGATGATCTAGCAGGTGGGCATTGATGATTCAATAGAGAGGAGAATGACAGGAGCATGCCTTTGAATAGAGGAGTCCACAGGATCAAGTACACAGTGCAGGAGCTGAGCTGACCTTCCCTAGAAGCAAAGGCAGTGAACTCATGGTGCACGAGAAAAGGGATCCACAGATGTGAACAGACAGGCAGGTAGACTGGTGGAAGCTTGTGACAGCTCAGTTTTCTCAGTGAAATAGTAAGTCAGGTCATCATTCAGGGAGTGAGGACGGGGGGAGTTTCTGGAAGTTTGAGGAGAGAGGACAAAGTATGAATTATGAGTCTAAGGGAGCGTGACAGTGAGTGGGACAACAGGGAAATATAGACCAATTGCTGGGCAGCATGAACTACCCCCTTGAGGTTAGTGGGCATGGATCTAACGTGAGACCAGACAACCAGCATGGTTATGCATTCCGCCCCCCGGCCCCTTGCAGCTGCACTGTAGCGGGCAGGGAGAGGGCAACAAAACGGACTGACAGATAACTCGATGGCTGATAGTTTATCGGGCAAGTAATATTCTTCTGTACTGTTTCTACTTCTCAGATGGTTAAATGGTTTTAATTGGGAGGGACTGAAAGCACGGAACCTTCCATCACCTTTACAGAGAGAGGTATGGTATCTGCTATATTACTTTCTTAATTTTTTTCTAGTTTTTGTTTTCATAAACAGAATAGGGGTGTGTACCACATTTTAGATTTTTTAAATACTTTTAAAAAATTAGGTGAAAATGTCATAGCAATTTGTGATTATGGGGACTAAATAGTATTTCTTGTTTGATGGAGATCAGCTCAGTTCTCAGGAACCAATTACATATAAATCTAAGTCCCCAGGTAGTCAATGTTGGTCAGGCTAACAGAGGGCTCTAGAAGTAAAATATGAATCATACTGTGATTTAAAATTTTCTGGTTAGCCACAGGTAAAATGAAACAGGTGAAATTAATTTTAATTATTACAATATATCAAAAATTGTCATTTTGATATGCGATCAACATAAAATATTAATGAGATGTCACATTTATTTTTCCATACTGTTTTTGAAATCCCAAATGTGGATTTTACAGCAGTCTCAATTTGGACTAGCCACCTTTGGGGTGCTCAGTCACCACCTGTGGCTGGTTGGACAGCATAGCTCGAGAGGAAACAGAACATCTGCTAACTTAGGGTGGGGAAGGGTGGGGGCGCGGAGAATGACTCAGGAATGATCTCAGTCAACACCCTATAGACTCTATGCTGTGTTCTCCTTAAAGGAATTTTAAAACCATTTTTAGATTGACATCTCAGTTCTTTCATTGTATGTTTAAATTGTGGAGGATGTGATTTCCACTATGTTGTAAATACTGACATTTTAAAGTAAAACGTTACTCCTTTAAATATATGTAATGTAATCTAAATACCAGTGAGATTGGATGCCCATTAGTCATTTAAAATCTACAGACAGCAATATTACATAATTCCTTTTCCTCTCTGAATTTATATTTTTATATTTCCATCTCATTTTCCCTAAAAAGTTTCATCTTATGTAAAAATATGTTTATGCCTGCTAGTATTTGATTATTCTTTAAATGGCTTTCAACTATAGTTTTCTAAATTTTAAAATTCCTGTGACAAACAGGAATTTCTGTAACAACACACATATTTCTTCTGGATTCAGTTGTAATTACATTTTTATAACATGGAGTATCAAACAACAGAAATATGTTGCGAACTTTTAAAGCAAGTATTTAACAAATATTTCTTGAGAAGAAATTACTCATGTACCGGGGGAGAAATATTACTTATTAAAAAAAATGGGATCAGGCTCCACATCAGTTCTATTCGTTTTTAAAATTATATGGCTCTTAAGTGCTGAGAATTGTGTTCACATAAATAAGTAACTGGGAGTGGAGGGTTTTATAATAGCAATGTCACTTTGAATGCCTTCTGAATGATCTCCCCCCTCTCCCAAAAAACACATTATGATTTATCATAAATAATATTTTTACTGATCTTTCAGCTGAGAATTCAATCAGGTACTTTTAAAATTTGTTTGAAAGCAAAGAATTGAAAACCACCTGCTTTGTAAAATAGTTTAATTCCAGAATCATTTCACTCTTTCAACAGGGACAATAATATTTTGAATTGACCCTTTGTTTGGCATTCTGGAAACTTTATATGGGTCAATTAACCATATAGAAATTCAAGGTTGGTGAGAAATTTTTATAAAGTGGAAAAAGGATTTAAAAGTAGCAAATTTTGACTTTTATCAAAGATTTTATTTATTAATTTGAGAGAGAGAGCAAGCACACAGGAGCAAGGAGAGGGAGAAGCAGATTCCCTGCTGAGCAGGGAGCCTGATGCGGGGCTCCATCCCAGGACCCAGGGATCATGACCTGAGCTGAAGGCAGATGCTTAACCGACTGAGCCACCCTGGTGCCCCAAATTTTGATTTTTTTTTAAATATTTACTTTTAAAATGTTTTTCAATCTGAAAAAAAAATAGATGCCATTTCTGTCACCTTTTCTTTTGGACATACTTCCTCAAGCCAGGTAGCTTCTGTTGAATGTAATGCAGTGACTGGATCCATTTGGACTAAAGGGGAGATCTCAGAGGCTGAGAGTGTGACTCAAAAATGATAGTTGGTCATCTTGTCCCCTTACATGTAACTTACCAGTGGTTGCAGTATAAAAGCAGTGTTCAGATATAAAAAGCATTACCCGTATATAACATGCTTAGTCAGCATTATCCTCACCTTTGGTTTAATTCCTCCTCTATTAGCTCAGTGGACCCACAGACCACAGCTACTTCGACAAGTATCCCCCTGAAAAAGGAGTGCCTCCAGATGAGCTGTCAGGCTGGGATAAAGACTTTTGACAGAAGAAAAGATGATTATTGCCTCTACATCCAGAAGAGGACTATAAGGACCAATAATCCAATAGTGATCATTTCTCTCTTTGGAGGAGTATTATGTCTTTGGGGAGACCATTAAGGAAGAGAACTCCCTGCCCATGAGCTGGGTGGACAGTGCGAATATGAAGGTGGTTCTGAGTTATAATGTCTCATTTAGATGCTCTGAATTATTCATGTATTCTATTCTTTGCTCTTCTCAAATGTTGGAGGCAATTCTCTTCCCCTCGCCGTAGTCAGAATAATTTTGTTGAGGGGGTATAATTTTCTCTGCAATCTATTGCTCCATCCCAATCATACATGTCTCCTTTGAGTCTTAATAAGTTTTAAAAAGTGTCTTGCCTTTGAGCAACTAAGTCATGCACATGGAAGGAAGAACACGGGTGAACTCTGGAAGACTTCCCCTACTCTCAACAATTCCATGTAAGCATTATGGCATCTCAAACCCATGGTTTGCAGAAATCTTCGTAGTGGATAGAAGCTCTTGATTTTCACCTGCATTCAACCTAGAAACATATTAACATGCATCTGATACTAGTCTGGGGAAAGGCAAGTTTAAGTATTAGCCAATGGTACCACTTCCTAGCATAAATGAGTTAATTCACCCAGCCAGTAATTATATTCCATTGGGGAACTTTGAAAAAATAAAGCAAAAAAATATTTTTGTTCTCCTGTGACCAGCTGTGATACCTCAGAGACTTTTCAAAAGCCTTTTTAAAGGTAGTTATAATGTGTGGTCAAGTGATGGACCTTTGGTAGGGTTTTATCTTATATACTAAATATTTTCACAAAGTAGAAAACACGCAGGCACAAAATTGTGAAGGCTTTTCCTTCCGATTAAATATGGAAGAGAATAATTTCTAATAGGTAAGGTTGCTGACTCTTTACAACTGAGATATTTTGGCCAGTTTTGTGTTTGTTGCCATTAATAAATCAAGAGTATAGAATAACCACAGTTAATTTTTAATGAAAATCTCGTTGGCTCATGTTGATGCCCTGCAATCACTATTGCATCAATAACTCTTTTTAAAGAGATTTGAGTCATGGATGTGTTTATAATTTTAGATTTGTAAGGTAGACAAGCCGCTGAGGAAGTGATGGGACTTAAGTAAAAGGGACATCCAGAATGTGCCCTCCTGTCTCCTCCTCACAATCTTTCAGATGATGAATAGACTAGTTTCAATGGCACTGGATACCAGCGCCGAAGAACTTTACTAGAGAATGTTGTCATGCATCAACCACGATCCCACCAAATGGATGGAAAGCAGACTTTCTCTGCATCTTTTTGATCTGGCAGAGTAAAAATAACATCTAAGTTCCTGCATTATTCAAGCTTCTGGTTATATTTTCACATGCTAATGTTCTATGGGAAAAGCAACCTCTACCCACTCTGCACCCATATTTTCAGCATTCAGAAAGAGTCAGCTATACGCTTCCTGAAGAGTCAAACCAGTTAAGTGAGGCCCAACCCAAGAGGGTGCATCCTTAACAAATTGAATTTCCACATTTAGAGAATCCTTTTGCTGAACCAAAGAATTTTTGTTTCCTGGAGTAGTATTTTTAAAGATTATGTATTGTACATAGACAAACCATTTTTAATAGGATCAACATAACCTGCTTAATGAATTTCTAAGATTTTTAAAGATTTTTATTTGCATTTGGTTTGTAAGCATTGTATGTTTTTCCATGTATATATTTTTAAATTACCCACCTATAAATGTAGAAAATGTATGCATTGGATGGATATTAGAACTATACAGATAATAGCAATGATATTCTCAAAGGAAATCAATAGTTGTAATTCAAAAAAGACATATATACAAATAAAAACCAACTTAGAGTACTGCAGTTTTATTTTGCCTGGGATTGGACATATCAGTATGTCATCTCCACATGTGATTTTATTTTGTTTCCTTTAGAGTACTTTATAAAGATGAAGAAATGAGGGATTGAACCATCATATAATCCCAACTCCGCTCTTTCCTAGCTGAGTGACCTTGGGAAACTGAGTTCATTTCTTTGAGTAAAGTACTAGCTTTCTCATCTGTAGAAGAAGACATAGTAGAGTAGTACCTACTTTAGAGACCTGTTTCAGGGATTAAGAAGGATACCTAAAGAGTCCTTTGCTGACATCTGTGAAATAATGCTGCATGGGTGGGAGCTACTGTTACTGTCTCTATTAGAATTAAAGGGGACTAAATAACCATTTAGCCCTGAACCTATGTATCATTGGTATCTGTATGTACAGTTACTCCAATTAAATCCAGTATTTATCTTTTTCTTTTAAATCATGAAGTGAAGATGGTGGATCAAACTTTACTATGTAAGATGAAGAGTTAATCCTCGCCAAAATGAAGCGCTTTATTAAGAGCTCACCTACTTTTCTAAATTCTAATTTTTTATGAACTAAGGTTATATATGTAAATATATTCTTCGAAAATACAGAACCCATCATATTCCTAATCCCCCAGTACAGAAGCCCATCATATTCCTAATCATCAAATCATTCCTGTTCTCTCTTTTCCAAGTGCAAAGTTAAGTTTTCGTTCTTGAGCCTCTTCTCTGTGGGGCCAACTTTTCATAATTGTAGTTTCTTAATCTTTTCTCTAAATATGAAAATGTCTGGAGGGAGAGGAATGTAAAAAAAAAAAAAGTGAGAGATTTGGAGTTAAAGAGACCTGGGTTTGAATTCTAGCTCTGCCCAGATTTGTGTGAACGACAAACCCCATCTTTACCCATCTGTAACTTGGAGATGTACATGTAAAGCTTTGGAGCATAGGGCCAGAGTATTATTACTTGTAGGTCATTGACAATAACCATTTGGAAATAAATACATACATATATTTCTTTTGGCATGATAATAAACCCTTGTTCTTTATTGCTATAGGCATTGTGCTAGGGGTAATTACGTCCATTATCTCATTCACACAAGATTCTAAAATAATTATAAACATACGCACTGTTGATTGCCCTCAAAGCTAAACACTGGCTTCGAATAAGCATTTCCTTCACAATTTTGCTGTTATGGTTTTTCATGGCTTCATCCCAGTTCCTAGGACTATATAACAAATTACCCTGCAACTCAGTTGCTTAGAACAACCATTATCATAGATTCTGTGGGTCAGGATTTCAGACTTATGGTGAAGATGACTTGTCTCTCTACCACAATATCTGGGGCATCATGTGGAAAGACTCACAGTCCTGGCTGACTCAGTAGCTGGGGGTTAGAATCACCTACAGCCTTGTCGCCCACTCTCCGGAGCCCAGGCTGAGACCACTCAAAGACTACAACATCTGACCAGAGTGCCTACACATGTCCTCTCCACAGCTGGGATTCTTCCTTAAACTAGTCAGACTCCTTCCATAGAAGCTTAGGATTCCAAAAACAAGTATTCCAGGAAACAAGGGAGAAGTTTTAATCCTTTACTAACCAGCCTTGAATCACATGACATCACTTCCACCATATTCTATTGGTGGAAACATTTAAAGCCCACCCAAATTTGAGGAAAAGGAACATAGACTTAAGGAAGAGAGTTTCATAAAACTTACAAGCAATTTTAAAACCTGCCACAATCCACTTCCTGGTCATAGATGAATCGTATTACTGCATATGCAAAATAAACACATTCCCTCCCAAGAGCCTCCCTAAAAATATTATTTTATTACAGCATCAGGCTCAACCTTAAGATCTAAGATTTTGTCCATCTAAATCCATTTGAGTGTAGATAAGGATCCTCAGTTGTAATTCTGTGGATATATTCTTTTAGTTCTGGAAGCCTGTGAACTAACTAAGTCATCTATTAGCACACTTCCAACACTGAATGGTAATAACCACAACGGATACTTGCATTCAGAGAGGGAGAAGATAGGAGGCACGAAGCAGTCACTAGTCCATCAAATTCTGAAATCTGGTCTGACACACAGTACCTTTTCTCTGCTTTGGGCTCAGTCATACTCCCCATCAGTTGTTCTCCATAGCTCTTGGCCTCATTGTGTAGAATCCTGGTTCTGCCTTTCAAGTCATCCTTCCTTTTCTATGGGATATGGCTGGTATTTGCAGCTGGGTAGACTTCTTAACCTGTTTCCTGCCTGCAACTGTTTGGTGGTAGAAATGACTTTTTCAATTTGTCTGTCTCTCTCTTCATTCCAAGCTGATATGTTTTCTTTAAAAACTTTGTGAGCTTCCTATGTATAAATCTATGATTCACTCCATTAGACAAAATCTATACTCCACATCTTCCTGTGAAGATGCTATAGGGAAAATGATTCTTAAAAGTTCTTTTTTTAAAAGAGAGGGTGTGCACAGCACATACTTAAGATGCTCAGAAGGCCTTTTGATCTGAAAAGGTATGGTAGACAACTTCAAAGATGGCTTTCAGTTATCCCTGTTTATGGCATTCATGCCCTTTTATAATCTTCCCCCTTGCGTGTTGACTGAGCCTAGTGACTTCCTTCTAACAAACATTATAATCAAAATCATGGGATGTCACTTCTAAGAGTAGGTTACAAAGTGACTCTGCTTCTCTCCTGTTTACCCCCTTGCCCTCTCATTTGCTTGCTCTGATGGAAACCAGCTTCTCTATGGAAAGGCCCATGTGACAAATAACTGAAGGAGCCTCTGGCCAATAGCCAGGGACGAAGTAAGGCCCTCAGTCCCACAACCCGTGATGAGCTGAATCCTGCCAATGACCATGGACTTGAGATTGGAAGCAGATGCTCCTCCAGATAAGCCTCCAGATGAGACTGGAACCTTAGCCTATACCTTGATTGTACCTAGTGACAGTGCATGAGCCAGAGTAGCCACATAAACAATTCCCCAGTTCCCAACTCAGAATCTGTGGATGCAAGAAGACACACTGGGATCCTTGAGGAAAAACTACAATTTGCGATGACAAACCAGGACTCGGGAGGACAAACTGGAACCAGTTTCTGTCTTTCATGGTTGCCAACTTGGTCATATGGGTGACCTGCGGAATAAGCTGGCACCCTGCATGTCTCCCTGGCTTGGGATTTGCGGATGCCGATGGGGCAATCTGGCTAGAGCTGGAGGAACCCCAGACCTGGCTGCTAGGTGACCAGTGATCAGCAAGAGTGTGTGAGCCGCCACAGTAGCTTGGTCTTGCATGACCTCCAGAGTAGAAATATGGCTGTTCCTCATTTCCGCATTTCAGATCTTATGAGGATTTCTTCTGTGGCCAGAGCCTAACTCAGAACCATACAGAGAAGGGACTCCTGGGAGACATTCTATTTCTGGCTTAGCTAAATTGACAAAGTGTAAAGTCGCTCAATTTCAAAACTAGTAAAATATATAATATATAATTATTCTCGTATGATTTATTTAGTTTGGATTTTTAAGTAATGAGATTTTCTTCCTCTCTTTCTACCTGCTAGTTATCAAAGTGGACATAGAGACAGGCCACACAACTCAGTTGAAACCAGCAATAACAATTTGTCTTAGGTGATTTATAGGCAAGTTTTGAATTGAATAAGAGCTGCAGCGTTTTCAATTTTGAAAGATATAAAACCAAGATATTTTTGTTTATTTTACTGTTGGTTACTACATTAAAAATGGTATAATGAAAAGTAACATGAAATTTGTTTCGAGGAAGGAGATGTGCATTGAGAAAAGGGGAAAAAAAAGGCAGAAGAAAATCTGATGTAATAAAGGAAAAACACCAGCAATGCATCAATCCCGGAAACCGAGTAGAGCAAATGGAGCTTCTCTCAAGGGGGATGGGAGAAAGCCAGGTGTCACACCAGAACACAAGCTGACTATGAGTCAACTATCCAACCCTGCTATTTAAAATTCAGGAGGATGCTCAGATTGCTAAATGGATCATAAAATGCAAGATTTGGAAAGTTGCCCTCTTCCATATTCTGCTTGGCCTGTCTCTTTTAAAGTCTGTGCTCAGTTTTGCATTTAGGAAGGAGAGTCAAAAGATTACAAAGTGTGTCTAGAAATATTTAAAAATACAATCCATGAATCAAAGCCAAAGAAAGTAAAGAAGGGCTAATAAAAACATATAAACATATATTTTTCTTTTTGAGGGCCTATAAAGATCAAAGGGAGTAAGGGGAATCCTCTTATTCTAATGGATAATGACTGTGAAGAAAACTATTTAATGCGTATCTTAATGAATTCACTCAACAGTAATTTATTGAGTGCTGTTCCAATCACTCAAGATGCTGAGGGTATAGCAGAGGGACAAAAACCACAGTCCTAATGAACACTCCTATTTATTAGATCACTAGGTTAATAGTGATGATAATATCCAGGTAATATGATCATGGATATTTTTCTTCTGTATTTTTTAAGTTTTATACATTAGATTTATATCTTATAATAAGGAACAGATTTACTGTTAAAAAAATTTGAATCAGATATGCTAGATATCAGAAAGGTCAATGAACCAAAGGACTGCTGAGCACCAACGACACGTGTCACTCTGTCACATCACTTTCCAGGCAGGTGACAGACCGTAGCAGAGTCTCTCCAGTATTCAGCACCTACTTACTTAAATCTTCAAGTCAAATTTTTACAGACTCTATTTGTTCCTTACCTCTCGATTCTGATATAAGGATGCAAAGTAAGCCTTTCACTTGATAGGGACAGGTAATTTACTTCTTTAAACATTTTTGAGCTATTTTTGAAAAGTATTTGGTTCTGCCTCTGCCAGAGTTTCAATGCCTTGTTTCTCTACTTCTTCCTTACCCATAGAGTGTCTCCTGACACCAAATTCTCTCTACTAAATGCCTATGCATGAATTAGTTAATTAATCAACTGATTGATTGATTTCCTCATCAAATATTTGAGTGAATACTCTGTTCCAGACACTGGTGTGC